CCGGGACCGGAAAAAAAAAAAAAAAAAAAAAAAAAAAAAAAAAAAAAAAAAAAAGAAGTTAAATAACTTGATTAAGATTACAGAGCTAGTAAGGGCTGAATTGAAACATGAACCCTGACCCATCATCTTCACAGCCCACTTCACAGGGCACCTGGCAGAGAACATGCATGTGATTGATGAACAGCAGCGTCCACCCCGCCCCTAGAAATGGGTTGATAAAACAGCATTTGCAATAGTTATAAGGAAGTGATATGATACTTATCAAGTAAGAATCTTCCGAGTCACATCCCTGAGTCCTAGTTCTTGATACGGCTTTGTGCGTGTGTGCGTGTGTGTGTGTGTGTGTGTATGTGTGTGTAAACACATAAAATGAAGAGACTCTTAGATACTTAGGGAGAGCACCGGATTGTCTGTATTTATTTTCTTTTTAGAGTCAATGAACCTTTGCTTTTCAGTTTTAAAACCAAAATCATTATCTAATGAGTTTCAATTTTAAAGGCAAACACTCACTGCTGGTCTATTCCATAACCGATTATGTGATTCTTTCCAGAGAAAATCTCTCAAATGTCTTAGTTTAGATTCTTTAAACTCTCCCAGTTTATCAAGCAGAATAATAACCAGACCTAAATGGAAATTAATGTCCAGCACAATACTGGGCACAATTGAATATTAAGAGAATGATTTAATAAGCCACAGGTGAAATATCAAGTTGTCAATGCAATTTATGTAAATTTTATTTTGGTATAATTTCAAACTTACAGAAAAATTGCAAAAGTATAAAAAAATACCCTTTAACCAAATTAGCTACTTATTAATATTTTGCCCCATTTGCTTCATTATCAGTGTAATCTTAGAAATGTGATAATGTGTAATAAAAAATTTCACAGAAACTTATAATTAATCAATATAATTAAAATGATTTAAACTCAATAAAAAGGGAATACCACTTTTTCCAGGGTCAACAAATCTAAGTCCAGTTCACAGCCTTTGAATTGGAAAGCTTATTGAATTTAGCCAAATCTGAAGCCCACACACAATCGAGGGTATTGACCAGTGTCATCTATTTCAATGTGAACTTATTTTTTTTTTTTTTCTTTTTTTTTTTTAAAGGATGACCGGTAAGGGGATCTCAACCCTTGGCCAGGTGTTGTCAGCACCACGCTCAGCCAGTGAGCAAACCGGCCATCCCTATATAGGATCCGAACCCGTGGCCTTGGTGTTATCAGCACTGCACTCTACCGAGTGAGCCACGGGCCGGCCTCAATGTGAACTTATTTTTAAATAAGCCTTTAAAAGAAGACATTGTGACTGTTAAAACAATATAACAAAACTCACAAATGAGAAAACATTCTTACTCAAAAAAGTAATCAAATGGCAGCAATCAATTCCCTAAACTGTCTAGCAACAAAAATCAGTATGGCTACCACCAAGAAATCTCCATTGTTATGAACCTCCATTTCTTCTGGAAATAATAACAAAGCACTTCATTTTAGTTATTCAGTGTTTCCCAAAGCTAACTATAAAAGGTTACCACCATGGTCCCGTTCCTGTGAGTCCCTGAAAGGCCGACTGGTTATAACTGGTTCACATGGTGCTAAAGTTGTGAGATGACAGCTAGAATCACCGGCCTGGAACAGATTCAAGAACAGCTAGGCACAGCCCTGTTTGAGGACATCACCTGAGTAAACAGCCTTCCCTGAAAGTATTCATTCACCATACAGACTCTCAACAGAGCAATCAGTCAGATGCGTGGCCGCAAGCAGATGCAGCACTCAGCCTCTTCAACTTGTCTCTGGTCACCTTCCTCTCCAGCCGGTGCTTGAGAAGTATTTTATTCCCAGTGTCCACCAAAAACACAATCTGATTCCCTCAGTAAATATCTGTTAAGGAGGTCACACGAAAAGTTTTCTCCAATTCACTCTTGCTGGTGGGTTTCCAAGGGTAAAATAATATAGTTCGTCTCTTCTCAGTCATGAGGAAACCATTGTCACTAAATCTCCCTGGTATGCTTCCTACATCCAACCAAACAAAGGGAGCAACCGCTGAGGTTTCCAGCTCAAAAACAAATGAGTCACCTTGCTGAGAGATGATGGCCTGAAAAAGGGATAAAACAAATGAAGGATGAGGGAAGAGATATGTAGTCCACACACAGTGCCTATCAGAACATGTATGTGGGCCTAATAAGGAGCACGTTTCCCATGGCTTTAGTTCTGTAACTGCTAAAGTCATATATTCCATGCACTGTTTCAAACACTTCTTAATACATGGAAAATGAGTTAAGGCTATGGAAAATTACTAAGTTATAATCTCAAACTAAGGAAATATGTAGTTTCCACTTACGGAGAATATTTCACAAGAAACTCAAAGCTTTATATCTTTTACAATTTTGCTCAGAGTATCATCAAAAGAGGAACATTTTTGCATAAGGGCTGGGTGACTTAAATGCATTTCAAAGGATAAGTCTGAACCTAGCTGCAGAGCTCAACTGTGGAGCATACATTCTAGTCTTCTGAAAAGATCCAGCAATCTAGAAAGCATCCTGCCAGGCAGTTACAAAAGCTCTACCATTAGAACTTCTTTCTTTTATTGTCTAGTACAGTAAAGTCACATTATTAGCATTTTTTTCTGTGTGTGGCTGGCCGATACGGGGATCTGAACCTGTGACTTTGGTGTTCTTGGTGTTATGACTGCACTTTAGCCAACTGAGCTAACTGGCCAACCATTTTTAGCATTTTTAATGTGTGAATTCCACATACTTTCAGTAGAAAGAGAGTGCAGTTTAAATTATGTAGGCTCCATTACACTTAATTAGCCAATTAGCATAAGACCAGAGTGAGGATGTGCTGCTCTCCAGAGAGGGAGGGGTTGCAAGCCTCTGCAGGTGTGAGTATGGGGTTGAGTGTCACCTGGTCTTTCAAGCTGTGCATTTGTCACAAAACATGGCTCCTCAACATGCATACATGCCACACTGTAGAGTCTTGTATTATACACTATGTGTGACATAAAGAATCTCAAAGGGCAATTTTTACTCTATGTAATTTAGCCATACACATTTGTATGATTATCATTCAGGGTTCTGAGTTATAAACAAGAAAACCTACATTGATGGAAACAGAAAAGAAAGTTAATAAACTGTATTAGGTAGCTGTTGGAGGAGGGTCAGAGACTCAGGCTCAAAGTTAGACACCAAATTCCCAAATTACACCACTCAGCTGTTCCAGAAAAGACCCTACAGCAGCCACCAGCACGAGGTTCACAGAGCTCCCCCTAGCCAGCCTGGGAGGCGGCCAGGGTTGCTTGGCTACTGCTGCTCCAAGGCCAAGGCCAGAAGAGGAAGAGACACTGGCTCTTTGCTCACTCTTGCTGCCTTCTTTGGATTGGAAGTCTGTGCATCTGACTATTGAAGCTTGCACCTTGGCTTCAGGGAGAACAAGTTTCTGGCATCTCCTCTGGGACAGTATAGCCATGTATCTAGCCTATATTAAGCCCGAAATAAATATTAACATTATTATTCCTATTATTACATATAGTCCCTGACTTTAGATGGTTCAACTTACAATTTTTCAACTTTATGATGGTGCAAAAGCAATACACATTCAGTAGAAACCATACTCATGCAACCATTCTGTTTTTCACTTTCAGTACAATATTCAATAAATTACATGAGATATGCAACACGTTAGTATAAAACAGGCTTTGTGTTAGATGATTTTACTCAACTGTAGGCAAATGTAAGTGTTCTGAGCATGTTTAATGTAGTCTAGGCTAAGCTATGATGTTAGGTTAGATGTTTTAAATGCATTTTTGACTTATAATATTTTCAACTTAAGATGGGTATTTTGGGGGATGTAATCCCATCATTAAGTCAAGGAGCATCTGTATATCTCTTTAGGAAGGACAAGTCTCATTAAAATCCAAATGAGGTAGGACAAAGAAAGAAGCCCCACTTCTCTCCAACCACCAGTTATCTCAAGGGAAAGAAGGTCCAACTAAGGAAAGAGAGGAATATTGCTTTCAAAATTTAGAGACTGCAAATTTGTCCTGTACGTCATCTTTATTTTTTTCTTTCTTTTCTTTTCTGGAAAGAAGTTATGTAAGCATATGTCATTTCCTTCATATCTGATCCTGCACCAATTGTTACAAATAAGATTTCATTATGTGAATATTTCACTATTAATTTGGAAAGAAGGTATGTTTTCAACTGTTAGGCCTCTTTCAAATAAAACATAAGGACCAGGTGTTTTTATATGATTATTTCTACAGTAAAAGTAAAAAACCCTTCTCAATGAAGTAAATGTATAAAACAAAATTAAAATTTGCTAAAAATAGAGAATGGAACTTTCTAGAAAAATATTTTCAATTTCTATGTGTAGAGGAAAAAGGAAGAAAAGCTTTTCACTCAACTAGACAGATTACCAATTCAGCTGTACAATTTTTATAACAACACATCCTGATCATCCCATTTTTTCTCTTGGCAATTATAAAGAGATTTGGTGATTAAACTACTTTGAAGCAATAAATCAAAGAGAGTAGAGTGAATATTAATAGATAGTACTTAAAAACTCAAAATTAGAGTGCTTCAACTGGGCTCCAGTGCTTACTAGCATAGAACCTTGAGTTCATTACTTAACTTCTCTAAACTGGCTTTCTAACTTGGAAAACATAGATAATAATATTGCAGGTTGTTGTGAAAGTCAGAGACTACACAGACAAGCACCCAGAACAGAGCCTGGAACCTAGTGCAGGTGCCATTAGTGGGTAAGCCCCCTCTTCTGCCACTGCACCAGCTCCACTAGGGAAAGGTGATGGGACAGCATGTGGCAGTAACTGAGAACTTTGACAAATCCTGAATTGGCTTTCAGTAGGAAGGAATCAATCTTCCCCAGGCCTCAAGTGAACTCAGTACCAAGGGGGAAATTTGCAAATAACAGGATGTAACATGTCGACCCCACGAGCAGGACAGCTCCGAAAGGCCACTGTGACCCCAGGTGACCAGTGCTTACAGTGATATTTGTCTTGATGAGCCCCACGGCCTCCTTCAGTGAAGACAAAAAGTGATAGTTGGTTGGGCTCAGGAGTTCATAGCCACTTGAAAGGTAAAAGGAAACCACACAGCTTTCCCGTGTACAATTCCCACATCTACTCAGCAATTCAGACACTGGCTCATTGTAGACGGGAGCAGCCTTCCCTGCTTTAATCACAAACTGTTTAGTCACGTGAGAGCACAGAGGCTCCAGAGAACTCCACGTATGGACTCTCACCTGGGGAGAAAGAAAACAATAAAAACAAACATTCTTGGTTACTATTGTTTTTAGAGACTAATAGTAGAAGTAATAATTGAAAGTCAAAATACCAGAACTGGTTAAGAGACAATAAAACCTGCGTTTTAATCCAGCCCCACTAAGTACTGGTTATGTGACTAAGTTATTCAACTTCTCAGTCTCCATTTCTTCACATGTAAAATGAGAATAATGACAGCATTAACTTCACAGGCTGCTGTAAGAATTAAATGAAGAATCCATGTAAGGCACAGTACCTGGTACACTGTAATCATTCTATAAATGCGACCTTTCTTCATGGGTATCAGCATCCTCCAAACTATAGCCACCCAAGACTTTGAGTGTCTACTTTCTTTTTACCTACACTTGTTTTAAATACAGGTTTATTTTTCCACAGCCCCATTCTGAATAGTTCTAGTGATTTCCACTTTAACATACCATTTTTAACTATTTCTTTTTGTAAAGTTTGGACTATTTCCTGCTTCTCATAATTATAAATAACTTCATATTTAAGCGGCACTTTCCAGTTTATATGATTCACTTTCATCTAATTATTTTAGTCATTACTCATAGAAATACTTTAAGAATACAGACTGTTATCATTTTATAGATGATGAAATTGAATCACCAAGACGTTAAGGCTTTGCTTAAGATCACATAATAAATGGCAGAGTTTTAACCTGAATATGTGTATTCTGACTCCAAAGACAGCCTATTTTCTCCTACAGACACTACAAACATTTTGATAAAAATTAATTTCTCTTTCATTTTTCCCAGAAAATATAATCAAACTAAAAAAAAAATAATAATCTAAGAGTCTCCCTCTATCTTAGAAAAAAATCCAAGTAACTTACAGTGAGTGTCATCGTATAGTCTGAGTGAAGGTCTGAGACACCGTAGACATAAAACACATTTTGATCCTCAAAGCCTACTGGCAACAGTGGAGCAAAGAAATGCTGAGCAAAGTAATGAAGCATTTTCCACTTTCCTCCGTACTCTGAAAATAATCAAGAGCGTTAGGAGATGGGCAGGGCCAAGCAGTCAGAGTCGTGTCCACATGACCCAGCAGTGAACAAATGAGGAAGAGTCAACAGTGGAGGGAATGCATGACTGTTACAGGCTCAGAGCATTGTGGACATTATGTCATGTCACCCTCATGCCATTTGGTGAGGCGGGCATTAACAACCCACTTCACAAAGAAGAAAACAAGGCTCATGCAGTTAATTCAGACATGCTGGAGGCAATATTTTGAGCCCAGACCCAACTTCTAGCTAGCACTTTCTCATATGCGACTCTGCTTCCAGGAGCTCAAAACATCAATGTTCCATTTTATTATGTACACATGGAGAAAGAAAGCAGGAGCACTGGTTGTGAACACCTGTTACAACTATTTATTTATGTTACTTACAATTCAAAGTCTCTTTTTCCCATAGACACAAAACCCTCTGGGCAAACCAAAACAACCACTATGCAAATATGGCTGGCAAAGTCGGACTGGAGGAAAACATCCAAACCAATGACAATTAATGACAATTCCTCAAATATAGCTAGAAATTGTCAAGAATCTGTAGAGTTCTTTGCCTTTTTGTCATGTCTTGTATGCTAAACCCACAAACATAAAAAACCTTTCAACATCGTTCTTTCTCAATATTCTTCTATTTCAGAATGAAGATCTTTCCCCACAAAGTACCACGTCACCAAACAACTTCAGAGAGAGAAAGAGACAGAAAGCCATAGAGAGACAGGGAGATGCCAGGATGCAAAGTACGAGAACAGGCTGTTGAGATGGAGAAATGTGGTTTTAAAGTCCAGATAAAACTAATTTCTTTAGGGTTTTGCAAAATTTCAACTCTCAGAACTTCAATCTCAACTCTTAGTACTTCATAACAACAACAACAACAGGTTGCGGGCGGGGGTGTGGAGAGGCCTTTCCTATTGGATCTATAAAGTGAACTAAAACTTATATTTGAAAAGTTTTGACATAAATGGAAGATGGCTCAGACCTGAGGTAACTGACACACTCGTGTGTGATATCTATTACAGGAGAAAGCCTTTACATATATGTTTCCAGAGGTCAAGGCCACAAGCAGAATACACTCAGGAGAACAGGAATTAAAGCAAAAGGGCTCACTGATACACATCTGCTATGGTTTGAATGTCCCCTGCAAAATTCCTGTTGAAATTTAATTGCCATTGTGATGGTGTTAAGAAGTGGGACCACTCGGGAGAGTGCGGCGCTGGGAGCGCAGCGGCGCTCCTGCCGTGGGTTCGGATCCTATATAGGGATGGCCAGTGCGCTCACTGGCTGAGCGCGGTCCAAGGGTTGCAATCCCCTTACCGGTCACACACAAAAAAAAAGGCAAAAAAAAAAAAAGAAGTGGGACCACTCAAAGGTGGTTAGGCCATGAAGGCTCCACCCTCTTGAATGGTTTGATGTTGTTATCATGCGAGTTGTTATAAAGGCGAGTTTGGCCCTTTCTTACTCTCTGGCTCCCTCGCACTCTCTTGCCCTTCTGCCTTCTGCCATGGGATGACGCAGTGAGGGGCCCTCACCAGATGCCAGTGCTATGCACTTGGACTTCTCAGCCTCCAAAACCATGAGCCAAATAAATTTCTGTACATTATAAATTTCCCAGTCTGTGCTATTCTGTTACAGCAACATAAAATGGATCAAGACAATACCCTGGGGGTACTAATCAGTAATAAAGTTTAGATACTAGCATAATACTCTGAATAACAGGCTAAAAATATGTGATTTCTGGCTTTGTCATTAACTCTGTAAATATCCAAGTTATGAACCAAGCAAAATGTCCAGGTGGATTTTTGTATTTACAAAATTATAACTATAAATTTGACTAATTTTTAAAAAAGAAATATATAAAGCCTATATAGATCCTAAGTAGCTATTGATCCCTTTAAAGTATCACATTTCAGGTGACAAAAGAAGACACATATCTCCCCCACTTGCACACACTATAAGCAATGGATTTATTGAGCCAATTAAACAGAGTTAAACAAGGTCTATGAGGCCGCCCAGAGCAAGAGTGGATATTAGCATAAATTGTCATAGCTTCTTCCTAATACCTGTTTTCTCTAATAAGTACAAGGAGCTGGTGACCCTCCACAAAGGAAGGGTGCTGCCAGAGTCTATGAAACAGTCAAACTCTTATTTTGTGTATTAATTTGTTTCTATTGCTCATAACAAAATACACAGAACTGGGTGTTTTATAAAGAAAACAAAATTTATTTCTTACAGTTTCTAAGCCTGGGAAGTCCAAAGTCCAGGGAACACAGCTGGTGAAGGTCTTGGTGGTGGCGACGGTAATGGCAGGGTATCACATTATGAAAATGACAGAGCAGAGAGAGACTAACCTCCTCATTCACTCTTACACACTACCGAATTCTGGGTATTTTGTTATAGGCAACAGAAATGGAATAATACAGTGCTGATAAAGACTTTGGTCAGAGAAACTTGATCAAAAATCCAATTCTCTGTAAGAGTTATCCATTTGGCACCAAATAAAGCATGTTTGGAATGAATTTCTTTGGATTTGCATTCACAACCAGTCTAAGAGCCTTACCCAGCAAAATATCCTTTACTTTATGGCCTTGCCTCATTTTTGACCCAAAACTATTGTTTATATTATTAACTGAACTTTTCTTCAGATCACCTCTAGAGAAGGTCAAAGACTCATGATTACTCCTTAATTTTTTTTTTTTTTATGTACTAAAATAGATTGAATCATTCAAACTGCACGTTCCATGCCAGTCATCTCATCTGTTGCTAGTTGAGCTGGTTCAACTGGTAGCTTTTCCTATTTAGATTTCTGATGCTACTACCTTTCCCCCAAGAGATAAATAGGGCATGATAAAAATGCCCTTATGGACTTAGAGGGGAGTCAGAGAAAGGGGCACTTTAACACTAAACTGCACCAACATTCCATTTGGTTGAATTCTCCTGCACGGAAGAAGGGATGCTAAGTTCATGCTCCTTTAGCACTGGAAAGTACTTTTAAATAAATTCAAAAGTCTACATAATAATTAAGACATGTAGCTGAGACATGAATCTATCGCCTTCTTAGTCTGCTGTTCTGACTCTGCACAGCACAGAACTCATAATCAGCCTTACAGCCTGCCTCTAAGCCTCATGGAAAGACTTTGAAGGTGAGTGGGGTGGCTGTAGTTCATAGACCAGCTGTACGAGAATGGCCTCTTTGCCATAGTTCTGCTTGGGTTAATCTGATCCCTCAGGCTCTGTGCTCTCTCAGTTCCTCTCCCCATAGGTATTGCTGTCTCTCACTCACATAAAGAACACTGAAACACTTACCTAGAGAAGCCCAGGAAGGAGCCTGCCAGATGTCATTCAGCTGCCAATAAAGTGCCCCCATGGTGTGCCCTTCTCCATCCACTATCTCACTACGACTGCGTCGGTAGAATTCAGTTTCCGTTTTGACACACTGGGCCTGCATCACCTGATACAGGGGGAACATTTATACACAGATGTTACTGTTTGTAGGCTTAGGTCTGAGAAAATTATAGAATTGAGGTTTCTTAAAAAAGCAAATTGGATAAATTAGGGAATTTTACTAGTGTTAACAATACCATTATTATATTAGATCTGGAACTAGCCCCTTAGCACGAGAGAAGCTATTGTCTATAACAGTGGGTTTGTCTGGGAGGCTTGGGGTTTGATTGATTATATCAATGAGTGAAAAAGGAACAGAATGGTATAGAAGTTTCTTTGCTAATGTAGTGTAGGCAATGAAAGAAAACAGACTATTATTCCAGAGCAAATACCATATGTAGTCAAACACTAGGTTATTTTAATGATAAATTTTGCTAATACATTCAAAACTCTTGAGCACTCTGGGCTCTAGCATGGTGTGGTACCCTCCACACAGACAGTACGATGCCAATAACATGGATCTGAGTCTACCTAAATGAGTAGGCTAATGAATGACACCTTTGTTATAAAAATGCAGAAAACTGTTGCCCACCATACTTCTTAAAGGGATGTTGTACAATCCTAGTTCCCTGGAAAATTTCTGGAACTGCTCCTTTCTCTTTAAAAATTGTACTTGTGTTTATGTACCCATGTATGCTTTCCTAAGGAGGGCAATCTTCACATATGAGGGATAAATGCTTAGTCATTTCCTAGGTTACTCAATCTCACCGTTAGCAGACAAACCTTATTTTTGTTTTAAAAGTATGCCTCTTTTCAGCAGTTTGCTTGATTACACTTATGAAATCATACTCCCTAGAGAGACAGATGGTATGATTAAAAAAAAAAACTGGACAAGGACACCAAGACTTAGGTCCCAATTCCAGCTTTGCTGTCTTCCAAAACCCACATTCTCTTCCTCCAGAGTAACAGAGTTGTAGCTGGGCTACACTTTCCAAAAACACACTCCCCATCCTTGGAACAAAAAGTAGCCTTGTGACCAAGTTCCCCCCATTTTTATATATTTTATTTACTTAAATTATCCTGACAATAAAAATCTTCAAATAAAGTTGGTTTTTAAACCGAGATATAATTTGCATATCTTACAATTCACCTTTTTAGGGTTTATAATTTACTGGTTTTTAGTATAGTCACAAGGTTGTGCAAGCCTCTCCACTATCTCATTCTAGAATATTTTCATCACCCCAAAAATTAACACCATGCCAGTTAGTAGTCACTCCCCATTTTCCCCTCTCTCTAGTTTCTGGAAACCACTAATCCACTTCCTGTCTCTATGGATTTGCCTATTGTGGACATTTCATATAAATGGAATGAGACAATACGGGGTTTTTATGACTGGCTTCCTTCATTTAGCTTTTTTCAAGGTTTATACATGTTGCAGCATCTATCAGTCCTCCAGTCGTTTTTATTTCTGAATAATATTTCATTGTATAAATATGCTACATTTTGTTTATCCATTCATCAGTTGATGGAACATTTGGGTAGTTTCCACTTTTTGGTTACTACAAAAAATGCTTCTATGAATATCTGTGTTCAAGTTTTCGCATGAACATATGTTTTCGATTTTCTTGACTATATACCTAAGAGTAAAATTGCTGAGTCACATGATAACTCTATGTCTCATTTTTTGGGGGAACTGGCAAACAGTTTTCCACAGGAGCTCAACCATTTTACATTCCCACCAGCAATATATGATGGTTCCAATTTCTCCACATCCTTGCCAATACGTGTTATTTTCCTTTTTTTTTTTTTCTTTTTTAAATTCTAGATATCCTAGTGGGCGTGAGTGGTATCTCACTGTGGTTTTGATTTGTGTTTCTCTAATAACTAACAATGTTCAGCATCTCTTCATGTGTTTATTTGCCATTTTCTTTAAAGAAATGTCTATTCAAAGCCTTTACAAATTTTTTTCATTGAATTGCCTTTTTCATTATTGAGTTCTAAGAGCTCTTTATATATTCTGGATACTAGATCCCTATCAGATATATGAATTGTAAGTTTCTTCTCTCATACTGTGGATTACATTTTTACTTTCTTAATACTGTTATTTGCCTTACAAAAGTTTTTAATTTTGATAAAGTACAATTTATCTATTCTTTCTTTGGTTGTTTTTTCTTTAAGTGTCAAATTTAAGAAACTATTGCCTAATCAAAATTCATGAAGGTTTATACCTATGTTTTCTTCTTACAGTTTTATAGTTTTAGCTGTTACGTTTCGATCTTCGGTTGATTCTGAGTTGACTTTTTATATGGTATGAGATAGCGGTCTAAATTTATTCATTTATATGTGGATATTGAGTTGTTCCAGCATCATTTGTTGGAAACTCTATTCTCTGGCGCCTCCCCCCCCCACCCCCACCTTGCCATTTTGTTGTCTTGGCCATTTGGAATGTAAATTAGTGCAGACATTTTGGAAAATAGTATGGTGGTTCCTCAAAAAAATTAAAAACAGAACTACCATATAATCCAACAATCCCACTACTGGGTATATATATCCAAAGAAAATGAAATCAGTATGTCTTAGAGATAACTGCACTCCCATTTTTATTGCAGCATTATTAACAATAGCCAGGATACGGAATCAATCTAACTGTCCAGCAACAGATGAATAAATAAAGAAAATGTTGTATATGTACACAATGGAACACAATCCAGCCTTTAAAAAGAAGGAAATCCTGTTATTTGTGACAACATGGATGAACCTGGAGGACATTATGTTAATTGAAATAAGCCAAGCACAGATAGAAAAATACTACATGATCTCCCTTATACGTAGAATCTAAAAATGTTGAACTCATAGAAGCAGAGAGTAGAATAATGGGTACCAGGGACTGGGAGGGTGGGGAGGAATTGGGAAGATGTTAATCAATGTATACAAATTTCAGTTAGGCAGGAGAAATAGGCTCAAGAGATCTACTGTACAACAACATGGTGACTATACTTAATAACAATGTATTGTATACTTGAAAATTGATGAGTACATTATAATTGTTCACACCACACACAAAAAAATAAGTGAGTTAATGCATATGTTAAATAGCTTGATTTATCCATTCTACAATGTATGCATATATTAAAACTTCACGTTGTACACGAGAAATATATACAATTTTTGCCAGTTAAAAGAAAATGAATACTTAAAATTTTTAAAAAAGAAAAGAAAATGAATTGACCACTAGGTGTATATGTTTATTTCTGGACTCTCAGTTCTGTAGAATCAATCTACATGTCTGGCCCTTGGTCAGTACCACATTGTGTTGATTACTGTAGCTTTGTAGAAAGTTTTGAAACTAGAAGTGTGAGTTCTCCAACTTTATTCTTCTTTTTTGAGATTGTTTTGACTATTTTGGGTGCCTTGCATTGCCATATGAATATTAGGACCCACTTGCCCATTTCTGCAAAAAAAGGCAGTATGAACTTTGATAGAGATTGCATTGAATCTAGATCAATGTGGGAGTACTGCCATCTTAACAATATTAAGTCTTCCGATCCATGAACATGAATGTCTTTCAATTGCTTTAATTTTCTTCAAAAATATTTTGTAGTTTTCAGTGTGAAAGTCCTATACTTCTTTAGATGAATATATTTCTAAGTATTTTATTCATTTTAATACTATTGTAAATGGTACTATTTAATACTTAATTTTCAGAATATTCACTGCTAGTGTATAACAATCCAACTGTTATTTGTATATTGATCCTATATCCTGCAAACTTGCAGAACTAATTTATTAGCTCTAATGATATTTTTGTGGATGCTTTAAGGTCTTTGTATAAGATCATGTCATCTGCAGATAGAGACAGTTTTATTCTTCCTTTCCAATCTGGATGCCTTTTATTTCATTTTCTTGCCTAATTACCCTGACTAGAACTTCCAATAAAATATCAAACAGACATGGCAAGAAAGGGCATACTTGCATTGTTTCTGATCTCAGGGGAAAAGCTTTCTGTCTTCCACTATTAAATATTATATTATCTGTGGGTTTTTCAAAGATGCCCTTTATCAGGTTGAAGAAGTACCCTTCTATTTCTAGTTTGTTGAGTGACTTTTGGTTTTTGGGGTGGTTTTTTTTTTTTTTTTTTTTTTTTTTTTTCGTGTCCGGCAACGGATCGCAACCCTCAGTGTCGCGCCTGTACCGGACCTGGACCGGCAACGGAATCGCAACCCTCGGCGCTGCGCCCACACCTCGCTCAGCCAGTGAGCGGGAACCGGTCTGTATGTGGGATCCGAACCCTTGGCAGGAGCGCCGCCGCGCTCCCAAGTGGTGCACTGTAGCAGTGCGCCACCGGGCCGGCCCAGGGGTGTTTTTTAAATAATGAAAAGGTGTTGGATTTTCTCAAATTCTTTTTCTTCATCTATTGAGATGATTATGTGGTTATTTTTCCTTTATTCTACTAATATGGTGTATTAAATTAATTGACTTTCATATGTTGGACCAATCTTGCATTCCTGGAATAAATCCCACTTGTTTATGATGTATAATCCTTTTTATCTGCTGCTGAATTTTGGATTGCTAGTATTTTATTGAAGATCTTTTGCATCTGTATTCAAAAGGAGGATTGGGCTGTAGGTTACTTGTCTTGGGATATCTTTGTCTGGTATCAAGGTAATAATGGCTTTACAAAATGAGTTAGGAAATATTTCCTCCTCTTCTATTTTACTCTTTTTTTTTTTTTTGAAGAGTTACTGAAGGATTAATGTTAGTTCTTCTTTAAACATCTTAGAATTCACTAGTGAAGCCATGTGATCATAGAATTTGTAGGGGAAGCTTTAGTTGTTATAGGTCTATTCAGATTTTCTGTTTCTTCTTAGTCAGTTTTCATAGGTTGTCTCTCTAGAATTTGTCCATTTCATCTAGGTTACCTGATTTGTTGCCATACAATTGTTTATAGTATTCCCTTACCACCTTCTTTTTCTGTAAGTGAGTCATAATACTCCCTCTTTCATTTTTGGTTTAGTAATTTGTGTCTTCTTTCTTTTTGCTTAGCCAGTCTAGCTAAGATTTGTCAATTTTGTTGATATTTTCAAAGAGCTAACTTTTAGCTACATTGGTTTTCTCTAGTGTGCCAATAAGGTCTTTATTCAATGTGCTAAATTTCTGATGTCTACTTTATTTAATTGCTGAAAATTAATGTTGCAATTCAACCAAACACCTCAGTTATTGTAGAACTACCCTTATGTCAACTGTAAAGAGATAGAATATTATAGTTTGAAAAGCAGAGACCCTAATCCATTCATTGCTCTGAGTCCTTGGACAAAATTCTTAACATTTCCAAGCCTCTGTTTCCTCACGTATAAAATGGAAATAGCAACACGGACGTCTGGAGATGCTGTAAGTATTACATGGGAATGCATACAAAGCACTTCATGACCCAGGGCCAGGCATTTGGTGTCTACCCAAAGAAAGCTGACTATCTGCTTGACTGTTAAATTACGTGGTGCCTATAAAGGCTTCTATGTACTTTGTAACATACTATATAGTACTATATAATGTACTATGTTGGTAATCACTCCATTCACCTCCCTTGCCCACTCTACCCCCATCTTAAAAGCTGGGTATGGCCTGGATCTTCCATCATGTCTCGGTGCTGCCTACCCAGGCAAATAACTGTTGCAGGGCAGCCAGCAGCATCAACACCTGGGCCTACAGCACAGCCTGCCTCTTTTCCTGAGTTCTTTTTTCTTTTTCTTTTCTTTTTTTTTTTATTTTATCAATATACAATGTAGTTGATTTTTGTGTCCATTTACCAATTCTTCCCTCCCTCTTTTCCTGAGTTCTTGTCATCAAGTTACTTGCAGCATGGGGAGAGAAAATGGCCCCTAAAATATATGAGTTTCTCAAGGACATCCCCAAGCAATCATTACATGCTAATAAATATGTGAAGAATAAATGAAAAAGCACTAGAGGAGGCTATAAGCTAAGGGATCGGTAATGATCATTAGCCTGGCTTCCTCTCTAAGTGGCTAATAAGAGGCCATGCCAGTAGAGTAAGTCACTTAAAAGTTAGTTTAGATGTGTTAGTTTGTCAGTCCTCAGACTAGGAAGTGAGACCTGCGTACACAGTTTAAGTGGGTGTGCCTATGTATATGGGCTATTTGGAATAAAATGTAACAGGATAAGGTAGGAGAATGAAAGGTGAGGCAAGATTATCTTGGAATATTAGGAGAATTAAAGAGTCAAGGGCTGAGCAGGACATCTTTGTGGCTATAAGATAAGAGAAGATAGGAAAAGATCTAAATGTGAAGAAACTTACTGCACAGCTTTTTTGGCCAAGACTTTTCTAACAGTTGCAAAAATTGCTTAATTAATAGAATGTGCAAAAAAGTGGCACATGGGCAAGCACTCTTCTTCAGAACAGTAGGAGAGACTATGAGAAAAAGAACAAGGGGTGGGAGTGGGAACAGAGAAAAAGGACCAGAAAAGGGCTTTACTTCTAATACACAGGTTAAAAGTTATCATTCTAATATCAAAGTAATGAGGAAGAAAACCTTTTTCACCCCAATATTTCCTGTATATATTTTAGTCAAGAAAATCTGATGCTAAAAACAAAACAAAACAAAAATCATAATTCTGATTTCTTTCATTTCAGATCTCATCTGTATATCAGAAAGTGCCACAGTAGAACGAACAAACCACATAAGGACCATCCAATTCTGAGCCAAAGCTTGATAGGATGCTAGTGCTAAATTATCAGACAAAACCCATCACCAACCAAAACTGGCTACAAATAATTCCTCTTATACACCCAGCTCCTACCTATGTATCTTGAATGCGAGCAAGTTCAGAAAAGAAAAATTATTTCTGTCAGTTCTTTGAATGTGGTTTTGAAGAAAATAATAATAATAAAGTAACAGCAATAAAATGAACAGTTGGAAGTAGGAAAGCCAGCATGAAAAACAACAGCTGAAAAAGTTCACACACACACACACACACACACACACACACACACACACACACACACACACGAATAAGAATCAACCTATTTTATATATCAAAACATTTTAATAGAATATTGGCTATAGAACTTTAACCTTGCGTTCTGGTAAATTAATGAATTACACATCCCACTAGCAAAACTTCCCTAACTTATAAGATTATGGTTGAAACATCAAAATTCGGGCCGGCCCAGTGGCGCACTGGAGAGTGCGCTGCTTGGGAGCGTGGCGGCGCTCCCGCTGAGGGTTCGGATCCCATGTGGAGACCGGTTCCCACGCGCGGTGCGGGCGCAACACTGAGGGTTGCAATCCCGTTGCCGGTCCCCGGTACGGGCGTGACACCGAGGGTTGCGATCCCGTTACCGGTCAGTAAAAAAGAGACAAAAAGGGGAAAAAAAAAAAAAAAAGAAACATCAAAATTCTCTTAATCATTTCATCACCTTTTAAAAAAGAATATCTTTTTGGCTTACAGTTTTCTGCTTCAGCTTCTATCCAAGGGTTTGCATTTTCGTACAGGAGAAAACTAATGAGAGTGAGCATGAGTTTGGATAAAAATTGGTACATTTTTAGATGCTAAGATAGATAAATTAAAATGTGGTCACGTTTAACAAAAACTTCTGATCTACTTCTGGTCAACTTATATAATTGGGAGTAGGCTTTTACCTTCTCTCTAGGAATCTGAAATAAGTATGGCAGAAACATCAGGTAAATAGGCAGTGGCTTTAACATAGTCTTAAGTATGTGTGTAGTCACAGGTGCATGAAATAAAATAGGCAAATGAAAAAAGTAAAATGGTCTAAAATCAGATCATGGTTGCACAGCTCTATAAGTAAATCACTTAACTGTACACTTAAAATGAGTGAATTTTATGATATGTCAATTACATCTTGATAGAACTGTTTTAAAATACATCTGGTAAGGTGCATACTGTCACATGCACAACTCTTTTCACATATGTATACACCCATATGACCACCACCCAGATCAAGATATTAAACACAAAGTTCTCTTGTATGCATTCCTAATTATTATCACAACTCCCCTCCACAATAGTGGTTATTACTAGTTTGCTTTCTAGCACCTTGATTAGTTTTTTCTATACTTAAATTTCAGTATGAAAGGAATCAGTACAGTATGTACCCCTTTATATCTGGTTTCTTTTAATCAACATAATGTCTGTGAAACTCATGCAAGTTGATGCTGATATCAGTAGTTTAGTCTTTTTTATTGCTGTGGAGCATTCCACTGTATGAATATTCCACAATTTCTTTATAAATTCTCTTGTTAAAGGACATTTAGGTTGTTTCTGGCTTAGGGCTATTATGAATAATGCTACTACCCTATGAACATTATTTTAGATGTCTGCTGGTGGATATATGCAACCGTTTTTCCAAGGTACATAGCTAGGAGTAGAAATGCTGATTCAAAAAAGCAAATATTTACCTTAGGTAGTGCTGTGGATTGAATGTCCCCCAAAATTCACTAAAGCTTGAACAGTGTTAAGAAGGTGGGAAACCCAATATGGTATTTGAAAAGTAGGACCTTTACGAGGTGATTGGATCATCACAACTATGCCCTTGCAAATGGGTTAATCCATTCATAAAATAATGGGTTAGTGATTTAATGGGCTATCAGGGAGTAGTTCTGATGGCTTTATAAGGAGGGTGAGTGTGCACATTAATGCTCTCCTGCTCATGCCATTCTCGTCATGTGAGACGCTGCGTTGCCATGGGACTCTGTAGGTAGTCCCCACCAAGAAGTCCCTCACCAGACACGCCCCCTGGACCGTGGACTTTGCAGCCTACAAAATTGTAAAAAATATATACTGTTCCTTTAAAATTACCCAGTTTCAGATATTCTGTTACAAGTAACAGAAAACAGACTAATACAGGTAGAAACTACCATGGAATTTTCCAAAATGGTTAAACAAACTTACCCTGCTACTAACAATGTCTCAATGTTTCAGCTGTCTCACCTCCTCACCAACAGTTGGTATTGTCAATCTTTTTAATTTTAGCCATTCTGCTAAGTGTGTGTAGGGGTATCCTGGTATGGCTTTAATTTACGTTTCCTTGATTAAGAATGAGATTGAGCACATTTTCATACATTTATTGACCATTTGGATATCATCTTTGGTGAACTGCCTGGTCAAGGTTTCTGACCATTTTTGAATAGAATTTCTGTCTTTTTCTTATTGCTTATAAAATCTCTTTATTCTGGATACAAACATTTTATCAGCTATATGAACTGCAACTATTGGTTCCCAGTCTGTGGCTTGCCTTTTCTCCCTCTTAATGGTGTGTTTGATATTCAGTAGTCCATAATTTTAATAAAGTATAATTTATCAATATTTTCTTTTATAATAGTGCTTTTTACATCCTGGTTAAGGATTCTTTGCTTATCCCAAGGTAATAAAGATATTCTCCTATGTTTTCTCCTAAAAGCTTTATTGTAGTACTTTTCACATTTGAGTCTTTGACTCAAATTATTTTTATATATATTGTCGAGATCCATTTATTTTCCCATAAAAGTATCCACCTGATATGGCACTGTTTATTGATGAAACTGTCCTTTTCCCACTGAACTGCAGCGGCATCGTAGCCATAAATCAAGTGACCAACGATTTTATGCATGAGTCTGTTTCTGGACTCTGTTGCATTCTATTGTTCTGTTTTATCCTGGGAAATGCCACTGTCTTAACTACTGAATTTTTATAGTAATCTTGAACTAGGGAACATTATAATGAACAATTTAACTTCATGAGCTATTCTTGTAAGAGAGAAAAATGCCAAAAATGAACTCTTTCAAGTCTTATGTGTCATCATATGTGTTTGAAGAAAATAAGTTCCTTAATCAGTAGAATGAAAACCTGAATATTTTTCACCACATAAGGCCTTCAAAATCTGCATGATCTCTTATGTTCGCTGCGGGAAACTGTTCAACTCCAGAATGAAAACCACTTACCTGAGTAAGGTAGATGGTATCTTTAAATGTGCGTAATGGATCTGTGCTCTGGGGAAGTGTGAAGTGAAGCCCAGCCTGATGCAACATTTCGTGGTTACCATCTGCATGATGCTGTCGGTGAAGTGAAAATTTGCTCTTGAAAGACCAGTCCTCCTTAGATGAAACCTTTTGCATAAAGAATAAGAGTTACAAATTGGAAAGTCAGCAGTAAAACTACTTTTCTCTAAGTTCCTGGCAAACCTGAGAAGTACTCAACCAAGGGATAAGAGCTCTAGATTTGTTCTGTAGCTCTCATTTCTTATGTGTTTTTGCAGCATACTCGTTACTGGTGAAAGACTAGCCTGTGCAAAGTTAAATCACAAAACCACGATCTGGCAGCTGCCTCCTCCCTTATTCAAACCTAGAAAGTTACATTTGGGTATTTTTCTCAAAAGTCTTGCCTTATCAAAACATATTTCTGGTGTTTGAAACATTCATTATGTGTATTTTAAAGTATTATTTCATCTATTTAGGTAAATATTTTATTCATTATTAGTTTGTCAAGACTGAACAATAGACTGCAATCCACATTCTGTTAAAATGGTCACAACTATTAAATAGGAATAAAATGGCACTATAATGACAGTAAATGCTTTACACGTTGCTCATATTGCTTATTTGTTTCTCAGGGATCACTAAACATAACAGATAGGCACATGTTTAATTTTCATATAGCTGAAGACACAACCAAATAATGACAGTCCTCTCCCCTAAGAATCAATCTTAATTTCTGACTACATTTGAATCCAGAGTTTTAATCCAAATTACACAGAGACTCTGAAAAATTATACACTGCCCCCACCCCAAAAACCTGAAAATTAAAAAGCTATATCCCTGTTCATAAAGAATGACATAATTCCCGGTAATCATGTAATACACAAGCAAATCACCTTAAAACATAAAAAGCTATTCTTTGAGAATTAATTTATAACAAAATATAAAAAATATACATTAGCCATATTTAATCTGGAAGTTTTTCCAAATTATACCTATTTTTCCAAGTTGTCACCATCAGAATCATAGAGAACACTAAGTATTCCAATTTTTTATTTAAAAAAGATATTCATATTCACAATAATCCTGTACATATGTTAGAGGCATAAACCTTTACCAATAGACTTCTCTTCTTTCTATACTTCCTCCATTTTAAATTCTGAAACACACCTTTGGGCTTCTCAGACCTCTGATTGGTAATTATTTAATTTAGCCCATAATCAGTGTAGTGGATTGAATGTCCTCCCAAAACTTAATTTCCACTGTAACTGTTAAGGGAGGGAAATCCTGTTATAGTGATTGAAAGGTGGGGCCTTGAAGAGGTGATTGGATTGCAGGACCATGCAATGGTCTGAGGGGCATGGTTCTGAGGGCTTTAAAAAGAGAGTGAATGAGGTTTCTCTCTGCTCTTACTGCTTTCTCTCTCGCTCTCTCTGCTCCACCATTTTCTCAGTGTGACATCCTGCCATCACTGTCACCACCATGGAGACTTTCACCAGCTGTGTTCCCTGGACTTTGAACTTCCCAGCATCTGAAACTGTAAGCAATAAATTTTGTTTTCTTACAAAATTACCCAGTTCCGGGTATTTTATTGTAAGCAAGAGAAATGGACTAACATAATCAGTAAACCTAATCTTTAGTTATATAGGTAGCTTTCTACTTTCTTATAACTCTGATTAGGAAGTTTTTAAAATTTCACCTACAACCATGTTTACCAGAAGAAAAGTGCTAGGCAAAGTTCTAACTGCTTTCAGAATATTAACTCATTTAATACTCATAACAACCCTATGAGTAGGTACTACTATCACCCCATTTTATAGATGTGAAAACCAGGCACAGAAAGGTTAAGTAAGTTGTCCAAGATCCAAAGTTAGTTAGGGCTCCAACCCCTAGTTCATTAAATCTAGAAACATCTGAAGAAAATAAAACTTTCATACAAACCCCATGGTTAGAATGGATTATTTTAATGGTAATAATAGTTTACATTTTATGGGTTCTCACTATGTGTCAGGAACTGCGCTAAATGCTTCAGTGTATTAATTAACTTGATCTTTACGCACAAACACATACACACAGGCATACCTAAATGCATACCTGCACACACACACACACACACACACACACACACACATGAGGTATGCACTATTAACCCCAATTTACAGATGAGGAAACTGAAATTCAAAAAGATTAAGTAATTTGCCCAAGGTAACAGCTAACAAGTGGCGACTGTTGCATTCAATCCAGTTTTGTTTATTCCAAAGCCCAAGCTTTTAATCTCCATGCAATATTGACAATCACCTGCTGAAAATATTATTTCATGAAAAAGTAATATATCCCAAATTAAAGAAACATTTTAATAGACTCGTTGAATACATGAAAAAAAACCTAACAGTCTAAGTTTTACTTAACGTTAATCTTTTGGTTTCTTTTATTTCCAAATTTCCTATTCAAATTCTCAACTAAGCAATGTAGCTTGAAAAGAGATGATTAAATCAAGAGATAAAGATGGTTCATAATGGGCAGAACTTTTTTTCACCTTTTCCTGTTTTAAAATATAGAATTTAGTATCTCTGAACATCATCAGGTATTTCACAAAAACATGGCAATTCCATTATTTTAAGAAGGTGAATAGAAATGCTAATAGATTTGAAGAAAAGGTTAGCAGTTTCTAACACCAACCTTTCTAGTGTGGTGAAAAGAAAATGTATCAGCTCTGGAGTCAGACAGTAAGTTTGAATCCAGATATGCTGCTTATTACCCAGGCGACATGGGTAGAACTCCTACCCTGCACTGCTTTGATTTCCTCCCAGGCTCCAGTCAACATGGAGGGGTTGAATTATTGCTAAATAAAAGAACAGGTACCTGGTACAGAGCATCTGCTTAGTAAATATTTTTGCTTCCTTCATTCCTTCCTTCCCATTCTCAACACTTACTCCTACCTGAGTCAGGAAGGATACTGAACTTCATTCTCCATTTTGAAACAACAGTATTACCAGAAGATTAGCCCCACAATTTGGAAATAATAATAATAAAAAAGGGGATTTCCCATTCCATAATGTACATATGTTTCAAAATGTCATGTTGTATACAATAAATATATACAGTTTTGTCAGTTAAAAAGACAAAGGGTTGAACTAAGGTTATGATGTTATTAAAGTTAAAACCACAATATAATTTCAATGTGTAGAAACAAATATAGTTGTGTTCAGGTGGAGAAATTGAGAAAGTTTGAAATTGTCTTAAAATATTTTTTGTGATTACCTTACACAAGTTATGGGGAGAGGAGACCACACAATCATTTCAGTAGATGAAGGAAAAGCATTTGACAAAATCCGACAATCTGTCATGATATGAGCATTCAACAAACTAGAAATAAAAGGGAACTTTCTCAACCTTATAAAGGGCATCTCCAAAAACCCTATAATTAACATCATTGTACACGGGAAAAGACTACAAGGTTTCCTTCCCCTTACAAAATAGAACAAGTGAAGGATGTCTGTTCTCACCACTTCTTGTTCACATTGTACTGGAGGTTCTAGCCAGGGCAATTTGTCAGGAAAATAAAATTAAAAGCATCCATAACAGAGAGGAAGAAATAAAACTATCTCTATCTGCAGATGACCTAATCTTATGTAGAGAAAATCCTAAAGTACTCCCCCCCCACACACACACAAAAACAATTAGAGGTATTTGCATTTAGCCAATTTTCAGGATACAAGCTCAATATACAAAAAACAATCATTTTTGTATACTAATAATGAGCAATCTAAAAATAAAATTAAGAAAATAATTCCATTTACAATAGCACCAAAAAGAATAAAACACTTAGGAGTAAGTTAACGAAACAAGTGTTTGTACTCATACACTGAAAACTATAAAACAATGTTGAAAGAAATTAAAGAAGACATCCCATGATCATGGGTCAGAAGACTTAATATTGTTAAGATGGCAATACTCCACAAACTGATCTACAGATTCAACCGAATCTCTATCAAAATCCCAGGTGGCTTTTTGCAGAAATTGGCAAACCAATCCTAAAATTCATATGGCAATGCAAGACACCCAGAATAGTCAAAACAATTCTGAAAGGAGTAAAGTTGTAGGACTCATACTTCCTGATTTCAAAACTTACTGCAAAGCTACAGTAATCAAGACAGTGCATAATGGTATAAAATATGCCATGGGAACAAAACTGAGAATTCAGAAATAAATCCTAACTTTTAAGGTCAATTGATTTTCAGGGCCAAGAGAGTTCAGAGGTGGAAAGAATAGTGTTTTCAATAAATGGAATCGGAATAACAGACTATCCACATGCAAAAGAATGAACTTGACTCCTACACAATACAGAAAAATAACTCGAAATGGATTCTACACCTAAACATAAGAGCTAAAACTATAAAATTTTTAGAAGACAACACAGAAGTAAACCTTTGTCACCTTTGTCACTGGAGTTAGACAATGATTTCACCAAAAACCCAAGAGATGAGAGGAGATTAGTAAGAAGGACATCATCAAAATTAAAAATTTTTATGCTTTAATTGACACCGTCAAGTGAGTAAAATGACAGCCCACAGATTGGCAGAAAATATGTGCAAATTATACATCTGTTAAAAATACTTATATCCAGAATATATTTTTAAAATTCTTACAACTCAATAATAAAAAGACAAATAACTCAATTTAAAAATGGGTAAAGGATCTGAATAGACATTTCTCCAAGAAAGATATACAAATTTCCAATAAGCAAGTGAAAAGGTGTTCAACATGATTAACCATCAAGGAAATGCAAATTGCCTGTAAATGTAAATTTCCAGGAAAATGTAAGAAAAAAAGGAAAATAACAAGTGAAATATTGACAGGGATATGGAGAAATTGGAACCCTCATACATTGCTGGTGGTGTAAAATGGTGCGTCCACTATGGAAAACAATTGGACAGTTCCTCAGAATGTTAAACACAAAGTTAGCACATTACCCAGCAATTCCACTCCTAGGTATATACCCAGTAGAAATGAAAATATATGTTCACACAAGAACATGTACGCAAATGTTCATAGCAGCATTATTTATAATAGCCCAAAAGTGGAGATAACACAAAAGTCCATCAGCTGATAAATGAATAAACAAAATGTGGTATATCAATACAACAGAATATTACTCAGCAATAAAAAAGAATGACATACTAATACAAGGTACAATATGCATGAACCTTGAAAACACTGTGCTAAGACAAAGAAGCCAGTCTCAAAAATATACATATTGTATGATTCCAACTATATGAAATGTGGAGAACTGACAAATACATAGACATGAGAGTAGATTAGTGGTGCCTTGGACTGGGGTAAGAGGGACAGGGGAGTGACGCGTGGCTGCTAATGGGTTCAAGGTTTCTTTTGAGTGATAAAAATGTTCTAAAATTAGATTGTGGTGATGGTTGCACAATTCTGTGAATATACTGAAGACCATCAAATTGTACACATTAAGTGGGTGATTTGTATGGTAAGTTAAATTATATCTCAATAAAGCTGTTAAAATAAAAAGAACACATACAACTCTGAAACCGAACCTATAGGAACAGAGAGTGAAAATCCATACAGAAAATCAAATACACCAACATGAAGAAAAAGAGGAGGTTGAAGGGGAGGAAGAGGAGAGAAGAAATAAGACAGGATAACATTCGACAAAGATTTATTTGTCACATTCACCTCTCTTACTACAGTGAACTAGCCAGTACTGAATATCTGTGAATAGTAAAGCAGCTGAATGACATACAGAAAGTAACAAGTACAAGTTATTTTCATGTGTGATAAGAAGCCAAGCTTAAGAAACAACTAGCCCCACTTAACCTTTAAATGCTCCTGAAGGAACATAATTAAAAGCAATATAGAAAAGTTATAATCTCCAAAATGATTAAAGACTTTAGCTCCCCAAACGTAAAGAAAAAAAAGCTATCTTCTTCCTCAACGTTCATTAAAATCAGAAGTTCATTTTATTTGACTTTCTGAACCACTATTCAAAAGTAACATATGCCCATAGTCTCCCATTCTGAATCATTGGAAAATCAAACGATGGCTTACCTTTTCTAATGTACTGAAGGAAGGCCAGGACTGGTATCCATATTCAGATGCAAATCGAGCTTTTGGGAAAACTTTCCAATTCCAGCAATCACTGATATAGTCATAAAAATGTACATCACCAAAATGTTTGCTATAAGGGTCCTTAGAGACCCAGCCTTCTGCAATGGTTTCAGCCCCGTTTGTAGGACTGGATACAATATAAGGACGACTCTTGTCTCCCTGAGTTCAGAAATAAAATGATTTAAAGGATAATATTTTCATCAGTAAACTACAGATCATTTGTTTCTTTAAAAATACTATCAAGTCCCAGAAATGCCAAGTGGCTGATAGAAAAAAAATAGGACCGTTTACCTTTTTCCCGGTTCAACAACCACCAGCACCTCTCTGCTCTTCAATCCGTAATATCTTTTCCTAATTAACACTTATCTCATCCCTCATAGCAGCTGTTCCTAACCTTTTCAATCATGTTTTGCCTCCTCTCCCATCCATCATGGGCAGTACAGTCTAGTTCAGAGTTTCCCAGCTTTGGCACTATTGACATATTGGGCTGGACTTTGGGGTGCATATGTGGGGGGTGTCTTATGTATTATACTTGCATCATCTCTGGCCTCTACCTGCTAGATGACAGCACCCCCAACCCCCCAAAAATGTCTACAGACTTTACCAAATGTTCCCTCAGGGCAAAGTCACCTCCACTTAAGATCCACAGGTCTAGCAGTTAAGTAACAGAAGCTATTGTGTCAAATGGACCTCAGTTTAAATCCCAAATTAGAACCTAATTATTTTTGGACAGATCTAAGCCTCAGTAGTCTTATCTATAAAATGAGAATAATAGCAGTACCTCCTTCATAGAGTTATTGTGAATGGTAAATAACTTGTAAGTGGAACAGATGGCTAAGTGCCCACTGAAACTCATGTTCCCATTTCCATAATATAGAGCCATCCCTGGGAAGGGGCTTCCTAGCCCTCTGCATCTGCATGGAGCCACGTGCCTCACTCTTGTCCTCTTCCCCCTTTTGTGGGTGAAAGCCTAGGAGACTGTGTAGCTGGGATACAGAAGGAGATCTGCCTGTCAATCAGGAGCAGTCACTTTATAGTGTTAGTGAGTAAGAAATAAGATTTTACTATGTAAACCACAGAAATACTGTGGTCGTTTGTCACAGCAACTAGCATGTAAGTACTTCATTCACTCGGTGCCTAGCACACACGTAGAAGTCACAATGTTGTGGTATTATCATCTCAACAGATGAGCTCACTTCCTATTTCACTGAGAAGATTCATTCACTTAGTAAGTTTTGTCAAGTGCTTATTGTGTCTCAGGCATTTTTCAGCCCTGCAAAGAGACAGAGAGAGAATGTGTGACTTCATCAAATACTCATACATCAAATCTCTCTCGAGCGTTTACTATGTGCCAGGCAGGCAGTTCCTTCTACGTACTGGAGGTTCAGCAGGGAACAGAGACATGGTGACTGACCATGATCCATACTTTTTTTTCTTGTTTCTCTTCTGTCACAGAAAAGAAAGATCCTTACTCCTTTCCTTTGCCAGCCTGTCTTCTGGTCATCTTTCTCTTTCACTTTGGTGCTACAGCCAATAAATTATCCTCCACTCTTTTAAAAGAAATCTCTCTCCACTGGTCTTTTCCCTCAGCTTCCTTAGGACTTCCCTCATCCTGATAAAAAGTTCCCTTGATCTTGTAATCTATCAGATTTCTTTACCACCCACTCATGCCTCAGCCCCTGATATCTGATTATTGATCATTCCACTCCACTGAATTTTTTCCAAAAACTTCCCAATGACTAATACTTTCCAAAGACAGCAATTCTTTCAATCCCCTCTATTCCCTCTCTGGTGTGCAATAGATGACCCTATTTATCACCAGTTATTTCCGAAGCTCGCTCCACCGCTGGCTGCTTGTTCACTACTCTTTCGCATTCTAGTTTCCCCCAACCTTTCTGATTCTTCCTTCTCCAGCTACCCTCTCCACTCTCCGGTGGAGACTGCTCAGCCTCTCCTTGTTCTACGCCCTCTAGCACCACTTCTCCTCTCACCAGTGTTCTGATTACTCCCAGCCCACGCCCCCGCACTTACATTCCCAACAATCAGTGCCACATTTCCACCTGCGTTGTCCTGCCAACATCTCCTATCCGACCTTTCAAAGCAGAATTCCTTATTTACTCATCCCAAATTTATTGACTGTGATTCCTGCCTTGATTCATGGTACCCAAGTAGGAGTCATCTTCAGTTTCTCCCTTTCTCTCTCTCACCTTCCACATTCAATCACTCTGGATAGTGCCAACTCTATGTTCAAATAATTTTTTCCCATCACTCCATTTTCAGTACCACCCCAGGACTCCACTACCTGTGACCCCTATGACCTGGAGCACTTAATCTCTCTAACCCCACAATGTTATCATTTCTAAAATAAAGTCAGTATCACCTACATTCCAGAGCAGCCCTAAAAAATAAATAAATAAATAATACAAAGCACCTGTATAATTATCATATAAATGTATGATAATAATATTAATATAATAATTATAATTAATAAATTAATGCCTTGATTGTAATAGACTCAATAACTTGGAGTTCTCCACTATGATAACTGGCTTCCTTGCCTAGAATCTCTCACTTCCCTAATTCTTTGCTAGTAAGGGTAGCTTCCAGAAACCTGGATCAGATAAAGTTCCTCCCTTCCCCCAAAATCTCTACAAGCTTCCTGCTGTCTACTGAATAAAGCCTAACTCCATAACATGATTCAAAGCCCTTCTATGATCTGCTTCCAAATAGTCATTTTTCTTTCTGTCTTTGACTCTCCCCCACCAATCCAGCAGTCCTTTGCTTTCAGGTACTGGGCACTGCTTGCTGCTCCCTATCCATACCTCACATACTTCCACATCTTTTTATCTTTACTCCCATTGTTTTCATGGCCTAAAATATCTGCTGGACAATCCTTTGCCTCAAAATTCTACTTCACCCTTAAGGCTTAGTTTGAATGTCATCTTTTACTTAAAAGCCTTCTCAGGTTCTTCCAGTTAAAATTAATGGGGGCTGGCCAGTTAGCTCAGTTGGTTAGAGCACAGTGTTGTAACAGCAAGGTCAAGGGCTCAGATTTGCATACCGGCCAGCCACCAAAAAAATTAAATTAATGATTCTTCCACATAGTTCCAAGCATTTGGGAACTACATCTTTTACAGTGCTTTTTTCACTCTGCCCGGTAGAAGTGGTAATTTTTTCCATGTTTCCCTCTGAGAGCAGACTGTAAGCTCCACAAAGATAAGAGTGTTCCCACAGCATCAGGAATGAGGCTTTGCTCTGGGCATAGATATTCAGTAGATGTTGGTTGAATTTAAAAACATTCAAGAGCATGGTAAGATTATAGGCAATCTTAAATTTTAAAATATTCTGTTATAATGGCATTAAAGTAAAATTGGAGGCAAATCAATTGGCCTTAATAGATCAAGCCCAATTGATTTCCTTTCATTTCTCCAGATTCTTGAACAATTTGATAAGCTGAGCCAGTCAGTAAAATTACTCTGCCTAAAAATATCCACTCTTAATGATGCATTACAATTTCCTTCTGTTTATGAATAATTATTCTTGAAGCCTGTTTTTTTGTCACATATCTCACAGATGACCTCTTTCTAGGTCATGACCTTAAATGCTTATTTAGACCAAGAGATACTTAAGATGAACCAAAAGAATGACCATAAAAAGAAATCATGAAATGCAATAGGAAATTAATCATTACAATTAATGTGTAGATGGATCAATTCGTGGTGCTTTCCCTTAAGTGCCCATGCTTTGATATAAATAACAACAGTAATGACTACATAGCACTTAATCCTGTACATCTTCAAGGAAATTTGTAAACATCAATTATTGCTCACAACTCATAAACAGCTCCCTTATGAGAAAGGCATCATATTTCCATTTCGAAGATGAAGTGACACAAAGAAACTAATTTTTTTAAGATCAAGAGTGTAGTGTTAAAATTAGAGATTAAAATGTGTACATATTTAAGACCTACTTTGAATGAAACCAAGGAAGGTGGTGATGACTAGCATTAATTAAAACATCACTACATGCAAAGTCTGTGTCATGTACCGTCCATCCATTATCTCACTTAATCCATGTAACAACTCTTGAGAGTTAGTCCCTATTTTTAACCCAATTTTAAAGATGGGAAAATGGAGAGTAAGTAATTTGCCCAAGATTACACAGACAGTAAGTGGCCCAGCCCGGATTTGAGTCATGAGGGCTTAACCACTATGCTATGAAATGAAAATCCTCAGACATCACAATCCATTTCTTAAATCCATCAATTACGGAAAAACATATTATAGCAATACTGTTAGTAAAAAGATTATAAAATAAATGTTCTATAAATATTAATTAAAGCTTATATCATCACATTTTGTGAATAGAAAAATTCTTCATGACACATGACTTAGTCTATCAGGTAAGTTATAAATTTGAGCCTATGTTTTTTTCATGAATTCTCATTGAAGTTTCTTCTCCTAAATGGAATAGTGCCATCAACTGGGCATATGTAGATGCTAATATCACATACTATTTAAAAAATATATCTCTTTTCAAATTACTTCAGGATATACCCAGGAATTTAAAACATCTAATTACAGATATAAAATTGTAAAGACAGCTAGGTTATTAAAGCACATGTTAAACACTAAAGTTTTTAAAAAATTATAACTTTTGAAGATACTACTGGTAAAAAAAAAAGCTGCTTCTTTCCTTATAAAAAATGCCAATTTATATTAATGTATGCCTGTAAAATATGCCTGTTAGACAAATAGTGGTGCAAAGAGAACCATCGTAGAGGAAGGGCCCTAAGGTGGAGCTGGGAACCAGCTCTCTCCTCTCCTCTTGACCCTGAAATCACATACCAACATATTCATACATAACATGTATCAAAGTATACTTTAGCAATTATAATTACAGGATTGTACAAGTGGCATATCGATAAATCATCTTATCTAGAGATTCTAAACCTTCGGGGATTTGTGGATAGACTCCAAGGAGTATGTGACAACCTACAATATTGGTGTATGCGTGGAGAGTTCCACAGATAAGTTAATCCCCAAAAAAGTCTACAATCCAGAATCCTTTCATATGCTGCAGCATCACAATGCAATACTCTGTATTCAAATGATACTGTTGAAGACTGCCCTAAAAAGGGGCATAAAATATACTATCCTGATATTCAAACTTCTCCATTTTAAAAACACGTTATTAAATTCTATTGCATTAAAAATCATTACTTACTGACAAGACGACCTCTCTGATGTTTTTCACATAGAGGGTCACATAATCATTGATATAGGTTTGCAGGTCAGTGACATTTATATTATACCAATTCATCATCAGTGCTGCTTCGTTTTCATTATTACCACTCCATATGATGATAGAGGGATGAAATTTCAGTCTCCTGATCTGAAATTTAAGAAATGTAAAATAATTTTCAGATACTTAACATAGAAAACTCAGAGCTATAATTATTTATAAATATTCTGCACATAAATTCTTATGTGCACGTGCCAGAAATCTCACTAGAAAATGGACGGTCATGTTAGCTGTGGGATTATATTTGAAGAAATCTGGGAGATTCTTCTTTACTCAATTTTATAAACACCAATAAGACAGGGTTCCCTTTCTCAGTTTTATAAAAACTGAAGAAAATATAAGCCCTTAAAAAAAAGAAATCAACCTCACCATTATCTGAATTGCCACAAAAAGGTCCCAGGAAATACCAAAGGCAGGAGACATGACATCACAAGAGTTAGTTCTCAAGAGCAAGTTGGAGTTTTGCATGAGGTAAAGCAAACACTGCCACTGAAAGAGGCATTGAGGTTTCCGTGCAGTCTCCACCAAGATCAGAAAACCAGAATGGGAACTAGAGAGGGTTTTAGGAAGCAAGTGAATACTAGAGCACTCTGGAAGCAAAAGACAAACATGGAATACTCTAAAGGAAAACAGGGCAATCAGGAGGATGTCTCCTGAAATTACTATCAATGTCATGTTCTGAGAAAATCAACTAAGGTTAAGCAAGTTACTGAACATGTCTAAATATAGAAGAGGAAATCAGAGAATCTGAGAATCCTGCCAGCCTCAAGACATGAGGCCTGCATGAACTGGCCTCACCTGGGCCGGCCCTTCATAAAGACAAAAGGACCCAGCTCTGTTATGCACCGGGCAGACTCAAACATGTCCCTTTCTTCTGACACACCCGGACATGCGCCACAGCAAAGGAGGGCAATTAAATGTCTTTGAGAACAACAGGGTGAGTCAATGGTCAAGAGGAATTCTTCTGGAACCTGTTTTGGCAATATCGCCTCACTGATATTTATAGATTCTCTTTCACTGTAATGGAACATAACAGTGAGGGGTCTCCACAGATGTCCTTCCCGTGGGCTCCATTCAGGAAGCTAAAACACTCAGATACATGAAATAAGGACACATTAAGGGTGTATCAGGAATATATTTCATTTAAAAAATTACAATCTTGTGTTTTTCTAAACCAGCCTTGTGAACAATATTCCCTTTTTCTTTTCTTTTTTTCTTTTTTTTTTTTTTTGCCTTTGTGCATGCCCAGGAAAGTAAGGGCTGCTGCCCACTGTGACCAGCATGGTTATGGTGCTGATGAAAATACAAACCAAATCCTGAAGAGGCAAAAAGCTTCAGTGACTCAGTGTTACACACACCCTTCAAGGTGATTTAGAGTTCTACGGGAAGCTTTACTTTAAAATTTGAACAAATTCTGCATAAAGTAGTTCTTCAATAATATATAAAAGAATTGAAGGTACATAGATGTTATATTTTTATTATTTGTATGAAGAAAATTAAAAATAAAATTGAAATGCTTGCAACCTGCATAACTACAATTAATATTTTAAAAGTTATTCATCCATCCATCTATCCATCCCTCCACCCACTCAGCAAACAATCCAGCCAGGGAGTGGGGAACCAGTGTGATGTGTTCACAAAGGCAAAGTGAAGGGTGGCCTAATCTAGACTTGCGGATATAGGATGGTTTTTCCCAGAGCAAGTTATGCTCAAGGTAGGAGGGGCGAGGGGAGAATGAGTGAGGTGGTCCACAGGGAAGTCGATGGGGACAGACAGCAAGAGGAAGATGGCGCTTGAGGAGGCTGGAGACACAGGCAGGAACAGGATCCCTCACAGGAGGATCTTTAACTTCATCCTGAGGGTAACCAGAAGACTCTGGAGGGCTTTTAGCAAGGGAAGGATTCAATTTGAACTTTTAAATCTTTTATTTTATTTTATTTTATTTTTTTGTGACCGGCCGCACCGCGCTCAGCCAGTGAGCGCATCGCACCGGCCATCCCCATATAGGATCCGAACCCGCGGCGGGAGCGCTGCTGCGCTTCCCAGCGCCGCACTCTCCCGAGTGCGCCACGGGCTTGGCCCTAAATCTTTTATTTTAAAAAGAAACACAGATACAAAAAGATAAATTATGACATAGTGAATTATAATAAGGCAATTATAACCACCACTCAGATCAAGAAAGAGAACTTTTCAGCCACTCCAGAAGCCCTCCATGTCTCTTCCAATCACAGCCCCTTCCTCCTTCCAAAAGTAACCACTATCTTGAGTGTTAACAGCAATGGCTTCCTTTCTTTATGCATTTCTCTATTGTTTTTCACACAAATATACATCTGCAGACACTATATTATGAACGTCAGATTTTAACATACTTGATGGATTTCAATCCATCGGCACTCCTGTCCTTACTGAATCTCAAACTGTCCCACTTTTGGTTGGTCAGAGTCTCTCCAAAGTCCTCTTGACATATCTTTGATAGCTTCCTTGTTGTGTATAGGTGGAGATATTCCAGGAGCAGGGTGCTGAGCAGGAGTGTGGTATGACTCAAAGCACATCGACGGAAGATGATTTGGCAGCTCTGTTGAGTGTGCGCTCATGTTGAGAGACCAATGCAAGGGAAGTCAATTAGAAAACAAATGCACTGGTCGAGGGGAGAGAAAATGAGAGTCTGAACTAGTGTAATAAGTATAGGGATGAGAAGATAAATACAAATACAAGTATCATTGGTATCAAAAAATTGGGTGGACTTTAAAACTAGTTGGATGTGGGTGGCAAGAAAAAAGAAAGTATCAAAGATGACTCTCAGATTTCTAGCCAAAATGAAAAGTCATGGAAGAGTGCATTTGGTTTGAAAGCTAGTGGACTTACTTGTAAGACATGCCAAGGTAGTGGTGCTGGTGGAACAGCTGATATTATTCTGTATTTCTTGTATACTGTGCTTATTTACATATATTATCCCATTTAATCTTCAAAACAGTTTTGTGAGAAGAGTAAAATCATACCAGTTTTATAGAGAGATTGAAGCTAAAGAGGTAAAGTAACCTGCCTAAGGTGACAGACTCACCATTCAAGAAGAAATCAAAATATTTGTTCTTATATATCACCATTACAAAAAAAAACTAGCAGATAATTGGACATGAGAAACTGAAATCAGAGAGTCAGAAATAATCCACATAGTGGCTTTATCTAAAATTATGGAGAAAATGAATTTCTTCCCTTCTTTGACATACTGCAGAACACTGTGAAATCCACTCAATATGTCTGCATGGTCTTGCAAACTCTAGTGATCATTTCCAATGGATACCAATGAATCACTCCAATGACTGCTTCAGTAGTATTTTGCTCACATATGATACATTCACAAATTAGTTTCTAAGCTGTCTTTTGGGAGTACATCATGATTCAGAATTTTCTTGTATTGCGAATGTCACTCTGATTCTACATGGAAATTCATGCCTTACACTTAAGATCTGGGGTAAAGGTAATGTAATGCAACCTGTGTTTCGAAGCACAATCACCCCCTAAACAGACATTGCTACAAAAATAATTATATTCAGCACAAGGCTGATAGACCTCAGATACGTGGCTGAAATTATCAGTTGATGATATTATAATAAACACCATTACCATTTAAATAAAAAGATATTCCAGGTCTGTCCCAAATCTGGAATCAGCTATTTCTCTAAGAAGACTTTCTCCTAAAGGGAAAGATCATTTCAGTATAAGGATACGCAATACTACTAGGTTGGCCGTTGTGTATAGGCCTTTTCAGTAGACAGAGATAGCATATAATCACTTCCTTGCATTTATATATCTATAAATATAAATGTGTATATGTGAAATGCAAAAGAAATCAAGAGTTAAGAATCACTTTAAATTTTTGTCCCAAGCAATTCAAAGAGTGATACTGACATTTGCTGAGGTGGGGAAAACTGCAGGAGAAGCAAGATTGGGGGAGGTCTTATACATTTGTGTTACATTTGAGATGCCTATTAAACCTCCAAGCAGGGCCGGCCCGGTGGCGCACTGGATAAGTGTGCCGCTTGGGAAGTGCGGCGGCGCTCCCGCCCGAGGGTTCGGATCCCACATACAGACCAGTTCCCGCTCACTGGCTGAGCGAGGCGCGGGAGCAGCACCAAGGGTTGCAATCCCGTTGCCGGTCCCCGGTCCGGTACGGGGGCAACACTGAGGGTTGCGATCCGTTGCCGGACACTACACAAAGCCAACCAAATGAGAAAAGTGTTCTTGACAAGAGCACTCTGATGTACCAGAGACATGCACTTCAATGATGTTTTGAATAAGCATGATCAAGCTATTTTATTTTAAAAAATAATTTTCTTAATCCATTTTTATATTTAAGCTAGTTAACATAATATTGGTATTTTATTTTTTCTATCTTGTCAAATGCATTAATGGCAGGAACCATATTGTCTTGCAGGAAAGGTGCTCTCCGGTAGGCAGCTGGATATAATAACACAGAATTTGGCAGAGAAGTCAGGACTGGGGATAGATCTGGGAATTGTCAGCAAATAGGTGTTGTTAAAGCCTTGACATTGGGGGGAATCATCTAGGGAGTCAATTACCTGACTGTGTAATTTTTCATGGGGCTTAACAGAGAATTACAAGAAGAAATGGGAGATTTTTAAAAAGGCAAAACTCAAATGTGTGCGTTTTCTTTCCTCTTGGAATGGTGATAACGTACCTGATAAGCAACTTCCGCTCTCACTGAATCCATAAATCCCTGATCAGTTGGATAAAAGGCACAGGCAAACATAAAATCCTGCCATACCTATCAAATCAAATAAAAGGCAATAAAGCACTTCCATAAGTTTTACAGAAAGAAAATCTTCATTCTGAACTTTGGGGATTATCTTTCACAAAAACAAAAAATCAAGTTAGCTTGATGAGTGTGATCATTTGAGCACCACTGTACATGAAGGCACCGAGGAAAGACACTCACAGACCTCAGAACTTTCCAGAACTGCACAAAACTGTACAGAAACCTGAGAAGAGAAAATGTTAGTTAGGTAGAAAAAAAGAGAACAAAGGAGAATTCAAAAAAGGATATAGTGAGTTTGTTGAGAGGGGATGAAGTGAAGCTTTCCCCCAGCCCTTTCTCATTCCTAATTCATTCTAATTTTCACCACGCATTTGGTATTGAGAGATGCACCTGACTGTCAAGAAGCATACTTTATTTATAAAGTAATTAACTTTTTATGACCAAAAGGATTACTACATGCACATTTTAGTAATGAAACCATGGGAGTCTCTTCCTAGGGAGGCTGTGCAATGCAGTGGTGACAAGCACAGCCCCTGCAGCAGCCAAGTAAAAATCTTGATTCCAGCACATGGAAACTGTGTGAGTTTGGGCAAGGTGTTTAACCTCTCCACGTGTCAGTTTCCTTATCTGCAAATGGGGATAGAGAGCAATAGTAACTACCTCATTGGATGGGCATGAAGACAAAACAAAATAATGTATCTAGTACTTACAAGAATGCCTAGTACTCCATGAATATTACAGAATATTGTCATCATTATCATAATCGTCAGCATTATCATCATTATAATTCCTACTCTTCTCTGGCACTCTTTAAATTTTAGAACTGTAAATTCTTTGAGAACTAAACAATATATTTCCTTTGCTTAATCCTCACCATGATAAAAACATGTTGAGAGTATTTCATAACAATATTAAGCACACCTTTTCTTTATTTAATTTTATTTTTCTTCTATCTAGGTTTTGTCAGAGCTCCTTAGAGTTAAATTTTTAAAATATTTTGTTTTCTTTTTTATGTATACCTACATATCACAAAGAAAACTGCCAAGAAAATGTAGACAGATGTATACTAGATATAACCAACATACAGAATATCTTATCATTTTTAAATAATTAAATAATTATGGTATTTGCTATCAACTGCAGCTCCGGGTTGACAAGATGCCATTTATTCCTTTAGCAAAAAGTGGAACATCATTCCCAGCTCTGAAAAAAGAAGTAAGGATCAATATAAGCCACTTGGAAAATATCACCCTCTCAGAACACTGGAGGTCAAACTGAGGACATAGTAACTTATTAATACATAAAATGCTACCAGCTACTCACCATTATTCCTAGTTCATCACAGAGTTCATAGAATTCATCCTGCTCATAAATTCCTCCTCCCCAAACCCGGAGAGTATTCATGTTAGCATCCACAGCAGACTGCAAAAGGAGCCGTAACCTACAGAAGAAATTTTAAAAACAAATGCTAATTTGGAAGTTTCTGAATATTAAAAAAAAGATTTAAAGGTTCTGGTCAAGATGGCAGAATAGACAGTCCCCAGCATCACTCTCTCCCACAAGTCAACAAATTTACAACTATAAAAATATAACATCAGCCAAGCTGGAGCCACTGGAGCTCAAGGGAAGAGGAGGAGAGACCTATAGAGTTCATGAAGGTGGGAGAAGCCATGATGAAAGAAAGAAAAATTGCACTGACCATTTTGAGCCACAGCCACTTTAATGTTGGAGCTGCTGAGCACATGGAGCAGGAGCCAGCAGAAGCTGGCAGAAACTGTAGCTGTGCCCTTCCGATGGAGTTGTTTGGAGGTGGCAGGAGAGAAGAGGGCCTTGGCAGCCCCCAGGACAGCAAGACCACTAACAAGGTCCCCGTGGACCCACATAGGAGCGACGAGCCAGAACAGCTGAAAAGGGGGAGCTATTCAGAGGCCAGTGAGCCATCTCAAAGACTGGCACAGGGCCCGTCCCATGGGAAGTGTTTGGAGCATGGGTGGTGGGCGAGATAGGCCCACTGGGAGAACACTGGGACATAGCATGGACAGCAGATCTGCCCCCCAATCAGCAAAGGACCACTCAGAGGAGACTGGTTGGGAATGCAGGATTGCATGGGGTGGAATTTGATGAAAAAACTCAGGCCCAGATCAGAGTTTCTACAAAACCCAGATGCACAGAGTCTCTGGAGAGCTGGAAGTACCTATAAGGTCAACCATAAAATCCTGAGCTGCACAAAAAGGCTTCCCTAGGGAAACAGCAGCAAAGCAGCAATTTAGCTCAACCACAGAGTTCAAGTACTGGTTCTCACAGGAAGTTCCCCCATGTTAGAAGAAAGCAAAAGACAAAAAATTAGTTCCAGCCCAGGCACACCACCAGCGCCTTGGGGCCCACCAAGTGACATGAGGTATGGAGCTGGGGACAGGACCCCGGCCCACGACCACTCTCACCACCAATACCTTGGGGCCCTCCCAGGAACCCAAGGCTTGGAGCTGGTGACTGGACCCCCTTCCCACAACCAGGCACCATGCCAGCACCTTGGGGCCTGCCCAGGAACCTGAGGCATGGTGAATGGGAATGGACCCCCCTCCTACAACCAGGCACCATGGCAGCACCTCAGGGCCCACCTAGGAACCTGAGGCATGGAGAATGGGACTGGACCCCCCTCCCACAATCAGGCACACTGTGCCAACACCTCGGGGCCTGTGGAGAAGGGGACCGGATCCCCCTCCCACAACCAGGCACACCATGTCAGCGCCTCAGGGCCTGCCCGGGGGCCTGGGGCATGGAGAGGGGACCAGACACTCCTCCCACAACCAGGCACACTGTGCCAGCACTTCAGGGCCCACCTGGGGACCCAAGGCAGGGAGAAGGGGACTGGACCCCCCTCCCACATCCAGGCACACCACCAGTACCAAGGAGCATGCCAAAAATATCACCTCCATGTGGGTGGCCCACCACAGCCACCACAATAACCATGGCTGCCACGAAAGTGGGTAGACACCACAACCACCACACAGACGATCTGCTAGCCACTGGAGTGCATTGACACAAGGAGAGTCACCAGCAGAGATAAAGAAAAGAAGAGGGGCTGGCCCGGTGGCGCACTGCTACAGTGCGCCGCTTGGGAGCGCGGTGGCGCTCCAACCGAGGGTTCAGATCCCACATACAGACCGGTTCCCGCTCACTGGCTGAGCGAGGTGCGGACGCAGCACCGAGGGTTGCGATCCCGTTGCCGGACACGAAAAAATACAAAAAGGAAAAAAAAAAAAAAAAAGAAAAGAAGAGGATGTCTCTCTCCACAAAGCCCATTCCAGAGTGACAGAAGAAGCATCTGCTCTATGACAATATTGGGGGACCTGATCACACCTCTTAGCATTGGAAAGATCATCTAGGGAACAAATCACCAGAGTAGCCATTATTTTTTCAGAAGGAGAGAAGAAATCTAGGGTAATTAGAGGGGGGAGGGGGGAGAGAGAGGGGGAGGGGGAGAGATTGGACAAGGGGCATAAAGAATAATTACAATTTGTAACAATGTATATGCTAGTAATATTGATTTGATCACCATATCTCAATGTTGAACCCCAAAAATATGTATAATCAATTTCGATTCAATAAAAAAAAAATTTTTAATAAAAAATAAAAAAGATTTAAAAAACACATTATGGTAGATAAACACATTTCTAAACTCTATTGGAAAAACATACTTTAAAATTATGATGGTTTGGGGCCGAGCCCATGGCGCACTCGGGAGAGTGCAGCGCTGGGAGCTCAGCAGCGCTCCCGCCGCGAGTTCGGATCCTATATAGGGATGGCCGGTGCACTCACTGGCTGAGCGCGGTGCGGCCGGTCTCAAAAAGGACAAAAATAAAAAAAAATTATGATGGTTTGGATATAATGCTAACTAAAGAAAGTGAGATAAAAATATGTACACATAACTATAACCACATAAAATAAATAAAATAGAAAAATTACAGTTGATATCTTTCCTCTGCTTTCTAAATGTTCAGTAATGTTGTTACTCTATTTTTAAAACTAAATTTTTGTTTTATATTTATTACTATAGAAAAATACAGTTATAAACCTAGGGAAGTATGGCCTAATTTTATATACCATTTCAGACTATAAAACAAAAATCAAAGTTTGAATTAGTACTACTTCACCCTTATCTCCTTTTTTACAATTCTTCCAGCCCAGGACTTCTTTCTCAGTAAATTTCCTTTCTACTTTTTTCAAATTCCTAGTCACATTCCTTGGGAAAATCTAGAACTTCAGGGCCAGTTTGTGAGCATGCAGCCTCCCTCCCGCCCCAGAACACTGCCCAGGAATGAACTAGGAAGCCAAGCCACAGCGGGTCAGGACCACAGCCCTGTGCTCCCAGCGAAGGCGCCAGGGGCAGGCACGCCGCTTGGCCCAGCTGTGCTCACCAGCTGCAGCCCAACCAGCCAGAAGGGGAGAGGAGGGTTGAAAAAGGAAAAGAAAATGATCCTGTGTCTGTGTCTGGAGAAGACTCTCTTTTTCTCCTGAAGTCTAAAATAATATACACATTGTAAAGTAAAAGGAAATTACTACAACTATTGGCAGAATTAAGAGTTTAGTTACTAACCACATCTACGTTCTAAACATCAAACAATATACAGTAGTCCTCCCTTATCCTAGGTTTCACTTTCCATGGTTTCAGTTACCTGTAAATATTAAATGGAAAATTCCAGAAATAACAATTCGTAAATTTTAAATTGCTCGTCATTCTGAGTAGCATGATGAAATCTCACACCACCCCACTCCATCCCACCCGGGAGGTGAATCATCCCTCTGTCCAGCGTGGAGTCACTGTCTATACTTCCTGCCTGTTAGTCACTCAGTAGCCGTCTCTGTTACCAGATCGGCTTTTGTGGGACTGCAGTGCCTGTGTTCAAATAACCCTTATTTTACTTAATAATGGCCCCAAAGTGCAAGAGTAATGATGTTGGCATATTGTTATAATCATTCTATATTATTATTAGTTATTGTTATTAATCTTTTACTGTGCCTAACATAAATAAACTTCATCATAGCATTACGTATAGGAAAACATAGTATATATAGGGTTCGGTACTATCCACTGCTTCAGGCATTCAGTGGGGCTCTTGGAACATAACAACAATAAGGGGGGACTACTGTATACTGTACTACAGTGCATACTTACACACTTATAAATAAGTTAAAATGTTATGTAACTTAACTAATAAATAAGTTAAAATGTGTTTATCTTCACTTCACATTTGTTTTCACTATCACAAACAGTAGTTTATACACACAATTAGGAAATATCATTTTCTTCTAAAGCTCTATTTTCAAAGCCTCAGAAATACATTTTTAATTTTTTTCTACATCTAGAGTTTTTAAATTTTTATTTTGCTTTTAAATAAGTTTTATTGTTTGTATTTAAGGTATACAACATGATGTTATGAGATACATATAGACAGTAAAAAGTCATTATGGTGAAGCAAATTAACATATCTATCTTCTCACAGTTACCCTTCTGTTTTTGTTTTTCTGGCAAGAACAGCTAAAATCTATTCATTTAACATGAATCCCATAGACAAGGTTACTTCAAAAGTTCATGGAAAAATAGAATTAAAATACAAATCTTTCCATGAACTTTTTGAAGACCCCTGGTACAGTACAATTTTATTACCTGTACTCCCCATGTTGTACGTTAAAGCTTTAGACTTGTTTATCCTACCAACCTGCTACTTTTATATTCTCTGACCTACATTTTCCCATTTCCTCCCTCCACCCTAAGATTTTGTTTATTTCTTTTGTTAAGGTAAAAGAATATGCAAATATCTTAGCAAAGGTAAATATAGCTTCCCATCTTTTAAAACCATGCTCAAAAATATTTAAGGTATTATTTAAAAACTTTAAAAAACTGAATTCAATAATCTTTTTTTTCCTGTGACTGTCCAAAATGTGAATTAGTCCTTTTCTTGTTTCTCCAGAGTAAATATATAATAGCTTTCTAAAAATTGGATGGCTTCAGCAGTCTCAAATAGTTTAGCTATGAGACTATCTATAGGAGGCAGGGAAGATGGCAGATGAGATATGCCCAATCTTCTCACAGAAAGGGACCAGAACAAGGAAAGGACAGCTAAGTACAGGGGAGAGCATCAGTGGAGAACATGAGAGGGCGGTGGGAGCCTGGTGAGGAGCATGAAAACAAAACAGGCTGGTGTAGAGGCTGGTATAGAGGAGAAAGAGGCACGCAGCTTCAGCTGCTACCATGGATCCCAAAACAGGATCAGCCAGAAGGAATTCTCCCTTGCAGTGGAAAGAATCTGCTTGGCCATGAGCACTTCCCAGCAGTAACCCTCCACCTTCTCTCACCCCAGCCTGCCCCCACCACTGCTGCAGTTACCTGAGCCAATGTCTAGTCACAGGTCCACGGCCCTTCTCCCCTGACAGGAGTTC